TGACCCACCGTTCCTGGCTGACGAATGCCTGGTAAAGGTAGCACAAACTGTTCGCTTACTGTCAAAAGGTCAAGCAAATACAAAAACAATCATTTGTACGGGTGCAATCATGCAAGAAATGGTTAGCCAGTATTTGTAATATTCAATTTTGGCTGATCGATTTTTTGTTATTCTAATTTCTGCATTGTTCCTTTGCCTGAAGTTTTGTGTTGCAATTTGCATAGTTCAAAGTCACGTTTCGCTGAAGAGCAACTTGATTCAACTGATGCAAATTAAATCTCAGGTCGAAAGGATCTTCTCAGCGCATCGGTGTACGTTCAAACCTACACATCAGAACAATCTTGCGAATGAATTTGCATGTTTTGCGAATTATAATACTCAGATATTGTGATGGTTGACGATATGCACTGTTCGATTGTATTTGTTAATTCAAAATGAGTTTTTTGTTGTTATCAAAGATTAACTGATGTGACTGCCTATAAATAATTGACGTTTATGAATAAATAAACCAAATATATCAATGTGAACTTGTCTTATTATCTGTCGGTGAATAGCGATTCCCTCGTACGGACATTACCTTTAAGTCATTGTGATATCATCGGGCATTGTGCTTCAGATGTTCGACAAAACCACTTACTATTAGGCAGAAAATTGGTGCTCACTAGTAATTGTAGTTGTTATCACCATCATTATTATTATAGTTGTTATTTATGTATGTTTAGTTGATATTGTTTTCATCCTATGGTAAGCCTCTAGAGGTAGTATCACAGATTTTGTCAAAATTGTGGCTCACGCCGAAAATGAACTGAACGAATTAAAATTCAAAAAACCAGTAGATTAGTGTGTGTAAAAAACAAGGAATTCAGTTACTTAATTGTGAATCTGTGGCATTCGGACATGACTTCATTTCCAGATGAGTGGGTGGATTTTAATTCATACAATATTGTGAACGAAGATGAAATGAAATAATTGATCGAATTGAAACAAAATGTGGTTAAGTGTAATACTAAGACCAGCGTTATTCGCATCGCACATGCGACAATTTTCACAACAAGCTTTGCATAATCGCCTTGTATCGTCGATCCGCTATCGGTAACTATTAATGCATATTTTTGAACTGATTCAATTTCTTGGTCAGTTTTATGAATTCTTTTCAATTTAACCGATCAGAGTGTGAGTACATTTGTGTTTTGTTGTTGGATTGAACTATTCCCTGTCAAATGTTTTTCTTCATTGGATTCGGATGAAACGAATTTGCAGACAAAATTGTCGTCCTTTAATAGCAGCAGTACAACAGATCAAAACTTTTCACAAAAGCGTATCGCTGTCTTCACTCGAAGCAACTGCACCACAAGAAAAACAACCAAATCGTCAACGTATATCGCGTAAAGTATTGCGAAAAAGACGTCCGCTTACAGCAGCATACGATGATCAAGTTAGTTCTTCCCTTCTTAACATTCAAGTTTCGAATTCAGTTTTTTAAACTCAACCAGATTCATTTTGAAAATTCATAAGATCTTATGTACATACGTTCCCACGATACCATCAGCTTGAATTGGTGAACTATCAAGTAGGTCATGCACTGCTTTTTCTTTTGAACTTCTAAATGGATAGAAGTAACTTCATTCAAGGCGATCTCGAGTTTCACACGTGTTTCGTGTTGATGTTAGAATTGTTGAATATCATAGCTGGAAATGAATTACAGCCGATGTCAGGACCGCAGATAGTCGCAATCGCAGTCGCAGAATCGTTTGATTTGTCAGCACTTATCAAAAATGCACAACTCTTACAAGTTTATCAAGCGACTTGTGTTGATGAGGGTTCGTTGTTTATTGATATATCGCATTTGTCATCCAATTATTCATTCAATTTATTGGTTAGGCAACAAATTCCACATTGCACGTTTCACTGATGGCAATAAGTGTGGTTAATTCTGCTCAAGATTATCGACGTTTTTTAATGAAAGTCTTCTTCGGTCGTTCTGTGTCAATTGGTGCAACGAAAAATTTCAGAATCTGATGAAGGCTTACATTTCGTACCAAAAGAGGAATATCTGATCGACAAGGATGCAGTTCGTGAATTCTTCGTTTTTACCGATGGAGTTGTTGTGTTTTGGGGAATGGAAAGTGCTGAGGTTTGTGGATCAGTTAACTTTGCGAGAAAATTTTGAGGGAATTTAATTTAATTTTATGTTGATTTCACGACAGCAAAATTTATTTTCAGCGAGCGTTGGTGTTGCGTTATATTCAGAAT